GACTCTCCCATAGACAGCAAGGTAACTACCACGTTCAAGGTCCAGAAACTTACCAAGATGATCTTTTTTGCACAAAGAAAACACAAATAACGACTTTATTCCACATTTTTGTCACTATTGCGTCACTTGTGGACGCGCGTTCACGACAGTATCATGACGCGAGCGTGTGGCGGCGCTGACCCGGATCTGGGTCAGTAACTTTACAGTTGAACCACTGATGTCACACGTACTACTTTTACGAAGCTACGAGAATACTTTTTTTGCGCAAAGAAAACAAAAACGTCACTATTGCGTCACTTGTGGACGCGCGTTCACGACAGTATCGTGACGCGAGCGTGTGGCGGCGCTGACCCGGATCTGGATCAGTAACTTTACAGTTGAACCACTGATGTCACACGTACTACTTTGTCGATCATCTTGGTACTTTTCTGGACCTTGAACGTGGTAGTTACCTTGCTGTCTATGGGAGGGTCAGAGAGCCCTCATATTTCATCAAAAATATCTTAAATTGTGTTCCGAAGATGAACGAAGGTCTTACGGGTTTCGAACAACACGAGGGTGAGTAATTAATGACAGAATTTTCATTTTGGGTGAACTAACCCTTTAAGGTGAGTCACCAGTATCTTTAGTCTGTATTCTTAGAAGAGAAAGTCTGTACTTCTTAGTGTTTATATCCACTACAGGCCAATTTTGTCAGCTTTTTGGAGGACACATAGGGCATTCAGTATAGATTTTGACCTCAAAGCTAATTGACATGAACCAAAGCCATAAAACTCCAATCAAAATATGTAGTTCACTGGGTTTAGGAACAGTGCAGTCACGTTTAGTGAGTGAGCAGCATACCTGGATGAGCTGGGAGAGCTCAGCGACGTTCTTTCCTGGCCCGTCTGTCTCGGAGAGAGCCTGTGAGCTCTTCAGTACAAACTGCTGCACCTTCTCAAATGTCTTCTCAAACTGCTCCACCTTGTCTCTGAGCTCCTCCATCTGAGCCACCTTCTGCTTGTGCCGCTCAGAGGCGTCAGTAAACCGCTGGGACAAGCCCTCCATCTTAGCCTGCAGGAGGACGGCAGCGGCCGGCTCAGCGCTCTCCACAAACTTCTTCACCTTTGCCTTCATGGCCAAGATGCTGCTCTGCCTGCTGGACATGTCCTGCTCCAGAGCCTGAAAGAAATGGACGTAAACCTTTTTTGTTCAAATGAAATATTGAGTTCAATATTTTTTTTAATGAACAGGGACAGTTTTGAATACAGGTTGTCTTTAAGTTCTTTTTTAAAGGGATACAATGGAACTGAATGGGATCCAAAATAGTTTGGTTACCAACACTCTTCACAAAATCGTTTTATGTTCAGGTTCCAAACAGGTTTGGAACAACACGAGGCGGTATCTTCATTTTTGGGTGGACTATCCCTTTAATTACACAGTTTTGTCTGGTATGCTTATACTATGTGGTTGCATATTAGCTTTCTTTGGATGACAGGTCAAAGGTCACATACTGCCTCCTTGCTAAGAGCATCTGCAATAGAGCTGGAGTCCAGCGGCACTTTTGCCGTCTCCTTCACGCTCTCTTCCACCTTCTCCATCCAGGACATCATCTCATCCAGGCCGTCCTGCACACTCAGGGAGCGCGTCAGAGTCACCTGCAGCTTCTCATTGCGGTCACTCACTGACTTCGACAGGTTGTCGTATCTCTCTATGATGTCATCTACAAACAGAAACGTATTCAAGTTTTTCTTCCCAAAATCGTAGTATGTGTTATGCCTGTTTCACACCGTAAGCTTGAGCTTCGCGTCAGCTTCATGTCAGCGTAACTGCAGACTCGTGAGAGTATTCACACTGGAAGCGTTTGTACAGCGTCACAGCAGCGGCTCCAAAGCTACATATTTCTTTACAAAGACAACTAGTGTTCTTGTTTTTAGAAGTTGGTCATTTATAAACTTGTTTATTCTGCGCATTTTTATCACTTTTTGTGTGAAATCATATTTATTTTGTCCATCAAAAGTGTGTCAATCAAGCATCACTTCACCGCTGCTCACGCGACACTCCTGCTTGATGCTCACTTGTTGCTCCTGCTCCCGGTGTGAGTGCACTCATTTGTTAACATGCACGCCAAAAGAATATGTGCCGCTCACGCTTGCGGTGTGAAACCGGCCTTATACTGTGTTTAATTTATCATTTATTTTTATCCTAAAATAGGCTTTTTTTTTCAGAAGTCCTATGCTTCTGGTGTGAAATGTGACCCAGGCATGTTTTTGTGAGAGTGATTTTGACTCACCCACTGTCTCCTGAATCTCCTCTGGATGGGACAGCAGGTCTCCCTCTGCGCTGATCAAAGCATCAGCTGTTTTTCTCAGCGAATCCACCGCAGCCTGACGGGACGTTGTTTGCCCTTGAAGACTCTGGAACAGACCAATGCTTATTACAGTTCACTAATAGAAGTGCAGTCTACTGACTGATTATCTTAAAAGCACAACATCAGTGGTGTGTGATCTATATCCATATCAATACGCCATATGACACAGTGACATTAAAAAGGCTGAGTTGTTTAGCATAAGGACATATATAGTTGTACTATACATCTCTAGAGAACAGTAATGCAGCATGAATACATTTCCTCTGTGTGTATCTGATCTGACTGCTGCTCAGCTGAATCTGCTCTGAGTGCATCATGGGAGAAGTAATCTATTTAAGTGTGATTAGCATTGTCTGCTTCTGTATCCACTTTTGCAAGAGCAACTAGCTATAATACCCCACAAGCAAATTAAATCTGAGCTACTGTAAGTCATTTGTGCTGTGGCATGCTTTAAGGGCTATAAATACACTGAAAAAAAGTTAAATTTGTAATTGTATTTGAAATAGAATTGTAAAAACATCAGAATAAACATCAAGGTCTTTCAAAGCTGTCTTTCTTTATAGTAAGTAAACTAATTTAAACAGACTACCATTTTTTTTTTAAGTGAAAATAATACTTTCATAGCTAGTTCAGCTTTTTTATGGTGAAATTAAATTGCACACACACACACACACACACACATTTATATATACTGACCAACATTAAGTAACTTTCTGACTTATGTCTAACAAAAATTTTATTTTATTTTTTTCTCTTTTGCAGTGAGAGTTTATGCTATCATGAGTTTCAGATGTATGTAGTGGCATTGTTATATTTGATTATATTTAATATAAAAATTCCATGTGATCGTTCAAATGAGAATGAGAATGACATTGTTTGTAACAATGTATATAGATTGTTTGCCATTTGGTAAATGTTAACCAGGAAATAAACAGAAACAAAGAACGCACAAAGATCTCTGGCAGATCTCCGCTGTTTGGACACATACAGCTACATTATAACTGCGTCATAATTCTGTGAACTGAATATAACGAAGTGGCTTCAGAACAATTCAGTCGAGATCAGCCCTCCCTACATGAAGGAGTGTGACGTCAGTAAGATCAAGCATCTTCATCACATCTGGATATTCTTCACTCTCCATTCATCTGAATGTGTCTTCATAAGCTAAGCTAAGTTTTCCTTTTATGCTCATACTTAAAAGTTAACAGGTTATTGGCAACGTGCTTGTTACGTTGTTAGTCATTATTGGAACATATACTGTTTTATCATTGTTCTCGTTGTTTGGCTATGCTGCTTTTTGTGTATTATTGGAAACATACTTGTTGCTCAGGTTTTTGGGTATTGCCAATAGCCTGCAGTTAAGGAGACAACGATCTTCATGTAAGCTAACCGTTATACTCTATTTTGTTGGGGGGATAATAATTGAGCATCATTCTTTCCTCTCATGGACTATTCAAAATTTTGTCTGTTGTACATCAGTTTTGTATTAATATCCTCACCAATCGCCTTACCAGAGAACAGAATTCCTAATTATAATTGAAATATGCTTTCTCTGCTGTGCTGAGACAAAAGTTAAGATTGGACAGAGAATCAGTAGGGCCTTGACAAAGACTGGTCCATGAGAGTTGGAGGTGCACAGACCAATGTTCCACTGATGGTTGGAGGACAGCTGATTGAGGAAGTGCTGCAGTTTATCTGATCGACCAGTATAAGCGGCTTGATTTGGAAGTGGCTTCAGAACAATTCAGTCGAGATCAGCCCTCCCTACATCAAGCATCTTCATCACATCTGGATATTCTTCACTCTCCATTCATCTGAATGTGTCTTCATATGATATATAAATTCATCCGTACTCACACTTGCCTTAGTCTGTCACAGACATGCGCTTACCCTCCTCCATCCCCAGCTCCTCCTTATACAGGCACACTAGACGATTTTAAGGCCCATTTTAAGCCCGATTTGCATCCCCGAACGATCGGGGATGGCCTCATTGTCGCAAACGATTTTTTTGTCCAAAAAAATCCTATATTGTGTGGTGTCATTACGATTATTTATCTGC